AAAAAAAAAAAAAAAAAAAAGAAGCATAAGCATTCAAGCATTCAATACAGTGGACACCAAGTGATACTGAAGCAATGCCAAAAACTTAATAGACTTCCAACATACTAGACTCTGCATAAATTCCCTCTTCAATGGCCTTCATCCTATTCTCTCTGTCATTTGTTATGAGTAGAACCCGAGCAGCACCACCAAGATGATTCTGATACCACTGAGTAGCCACTCGAATTGCTGAATAACAATGTTGGAGATATTAATCAACAAGAAAGCATTCCCACAGTAACTAGCTTATAAAAAGATTATTAGAACAGATATACAACGATTGGCAGTTACTGCAACAATGCAAGTAAGAATGTACAAATGTGAATGTGCATCAGATATAAATATTGCATAAGTGAGGCAGAGAAGATGGATGAAAATATATGTAGTCCAGCTACAGTATGCAAACATTAGAGCATCGAATCTTGTAATTTCAGAAGAATACCTCTATCATTTCGATTATTTTTACTTTCTCCACTCATCTCCTTAACATATGTATCCCTGCCAAAACAATGTCATCAAAGGAAGCTCAAAATTCTAGTGGCCATGAAAGTGCATGTTGTTTCATAGAGATTTTAAAACTCCATGCCATCAAAAATTACAAAAAGGTTGTAGGGAAACTAAGCATATCAAAGTTGAAGCTTCGTTTTCTATCAAATACTCTAATATCACGCTTCATTCAACCATTACAATAACAGCCTCAGCTCTAGAAAGCTCCCGTAAGTTGTACTTAGTTTTTTCATTCACGTTTTACCCAAGGTGCATAAAATCACTAGCTTAATATACGTAGAAGTTCAAACCAAAGGCACAAATGATCAACTGCTTAATTGGCTTCATAGCTTTTGTTTAGAGATTGGTATTAGTAAATAGGTATGGAATCTCCAACTCAAGTGTGAACTTATATCAATCACAGACGAGCGCCAAAGGCAATACTAATGAAAGGGTAACTAAAAACATACTTGTGGTGCTCATTGGAGAAGATAAAGAATCTCCTCAAAGGATTAAAGCAGAGAGCTCTAACTCTATTGTAAACAGACAAGTTCTTGTTCTTAACTTCTTCCAGCACAACCGATAGCATAACCACATCATCAATGGCAGGATTCTCTAGCAAATCAATCTGCAAAAATGCTTTATTTCATACAAACGCTACATGTCGAAAGCAAAATGTTAACAACAGGAACTGCACCAAAAATAACCTGAGTAAGAACGACATTGGTGTCAAGAACTAGAATTGGGAATGTAGAAGCACTCAAGCGAGCAACAGAAGAATCACATTTTTTGCAAATTGAAGTCCCACAGTAAATATCATCTCGAAGATAGTGTTCTCTCACTTGCTGTCATGGAAAACAGAAACCCATAAATACATGGTAAGATCAAAATTATGAAGTAACGAGACCCAAGATTAGTAATTTACCGACCTTCGTCACCTTCCCAGACTTCGTCTTTTTAACAAACGATTTGTTATGCAACATCTCTTCTAACAGCAGCTTCAACTATTATTCCACTAAAAGCTGCAAGAACAGTCAATAATTTGAGACAGATTCTTAAAGGAACAACTTCTGAAGTATGGAAATTACCCAAAAGCAAAAACAAACTAAAAAAAATGGCGAATTACTAGAACCACAGATAATCGCCACAGAAAAAGTATGAAAAACAATTGAAATTGCCAAAGCAGCACGCAATGCTTCCCAACAACAAACCCAATACCTTAAAACCAATAGGATAAGCTGGAGAATCAAAAATCGATAACAATGGAAACGAGAACTTGAAGACGAAGTACCTGAAATAAGGATCATTCGAGAAGCTTTGATTCTGTGCTTGGAATGGAAGAAAGTTGGGGTTTAATCGAATCGTTAGAAGGGTTTTTGGGAGTTTTTGTTTGGGATTAAAATTGGGTAATTCGACTCGATGCCCTAATAGAAAATCCGATTGGACAAAATACTTCCCTCCAAAAATCCGGTGAAACATTGCCTGATTACAAAAATACCCCTTAAAACCGTTAAAATCAAAAGAAAGTCAACGATCTTTTCGTCTATGAAAGGTCAAACACTGGAAAAATCAAAAGAAAGAAAAAGTGGAGACAAAGTTTCAGAAGAATAATATATGTACACGAGAGAAAAATTGTAGAAATTAAAAATTTTAAATGCAGTTATTAAATACAAGATTATAAATTTTGTGGTTTTATCGTATATTAAATTAATTTTTTTTGTTTAATAAAATAATTAATTATATTTTTTAATAATTTATTATACAAATTTAACTTGATTCACGTGTTTTAAAACATCTTAACGAAGAATTAAATAAAAATAAATAAATATTTAAATTAATTTTTTTTTTTGTTTAATAAAATAATTAAACAAAAACCTTCCGCGTTTCAGTTGTCGTCCACTTCCTTCCGACATCACTGAACCATTTGTCTGTTTTTAAATAAATCCAAAAACCTTCCGCTCCTCCTTCCTTCCTTCCTCCCTCACCCGCCGCTTCACTTTAACTCCCTCCCATGTCCGTTCCCCTCGACCAGCTCCAACCCCCGCCCTCTGCCGCCGCCATACACCCCGCCCAGGGCTCCGTCGGCCCCGTCATCGCCGTCCTTGCAGTGATTTCCATCCTCGGCTTCATTGCCGGCATGATCGGCCGCGTCTGCTTTGGCCGTCCCGTTTTTGGCTACAACGCCCAGTACGACGTCGAAGATTGGGTCGAGAAGAAATGTGCTTCCTGCCTCGATGGGTCTCTAGACCCTCCCCCGCATCTCCGCCCCCCGCCACCGATCGAAGCTATTCCGGTGTCGGAGCCGCTTGGTGGGCCGCCGAACATCAAAGAAGGTGGCGATGGCGATAGGGAACGCGAGAATCTGCAGTCGGTGGCTCCCGGCAGTGGCGGTGAGTCGTGAGATTTAATTAGAAGAGTAAAGTTTTTCCCTTTTTGTTTAATATTCCATCCGGTGGAAGAATGAATCTTTTTGCGTTTTTATTTTTTATGCAATTTAGATGGTTCAATTTAATTAATTTATATTTTTCTTTTTTCTATTTTTGAAATATCTGAATTGGATGATATTGGCTATATCAGAATAAAATGAACCTAGAAGAGAGAGGTCTCATATTTATTTACTTCCAGCAAATAATCAGAATGGAAATGTTGATACATATATATTGAATTATGTTTATCTTTTAAATTTTGAACTCAACAAAGAATTTTTTTAATCTTTACCATTTTAGAATATTGCGACTTGTTATTTAAAAAAAAAAAAAAATAATAATAAAAATACGTAGAGATCCAAACAAATGTAGCACTCTTTATTACAACATTTTATTCCTTGAGAGTCTTTTGGAGTTTATACCATCTCAAACTTGAAATTTGTGGTTTATAGTGCATTTGAATGAATTAGACTAAAAATAGGAGTAATAAAGCAAAGAAAGTAAAACGGGTTGAAGCATAAACAAAACTGGCCACCAAATAGGAGACTTATTGATCAAAAGTTTTACCATAAAAAAAAACTTCTACGGATGAAAAGTTTCACCGATGCCATCATTCATCGACACTAAAGTTAGCCAAGGAATAAGATTTGAAAGGTACACTTTGACGGTCACTCCTCTTGACTTGATAAAATTATAAGGTCAAATATCTCGAAAGGATGAGGACTCGCTATAGGAACAAATATTTTTTGGACGGACAAAATTGAGAAAAACTTAAACTCGTGGGGGTAAAATGGTCATTTTGGCTCACATTTTCTAATGAAGTTCGGACATTTAATTTGCTCAAATCTGTCCCGACTGAAGGATGAACTAAAGGTATGATTTTTTCATTTTTGTTCTTGATTTTTCTCTAGATTTGGGAGATTTATGAGAAATTTCGATATAAATTTTTGATATGTTGTTCTTGGAGAGATTTTGCACAAGTTGAATTTGACCGGAGGTTGGAGTTCAGTTTTCTATCAAATTTAAGCATATTTATTTCCTTATGGAGTTGATTAAAAATTACGAGAAAAATATTTTTGTATAAAAAGATTAAATCTCTATAACTTTAGAAAAGGAACTAAGTTGAATCGAGTTGCGTAGTAAAAGTTATTAAAATTCAAAGAAAATAGGTATTTTTTTTTTAGAATCATCGAATTTTGGAAAATTGTTTTGCGCACCGCTGAGGGAGAAGAGACACGTGTTAGGCGATGAATGGACGAGTGCGGTTGACATGGGTGCAACATGTGTCGAGTGCGAGTGAAGCAAAGCGTTAGCTTACAAAAAAAAGGAAGAAATTCATGCACTCGATTAAGTTAGGTTTTGAAGGTGGCCATGTTGAACTAGAACCTACGACCTGACCTTGTTGACTGACCCGACCCGCACATATTCCTTGTTACAGTGCACGCAATTCTACGTGTGTCCACTCTTTCATTCACGCGTGAGGTAGCTCTCTAGTACTAATGTCAAGATACTGGTTAGGAGGAAATTTAGACAATTAAGACACACTGGGAATATCTAAGAATATGTCAAGTATTTTTCTACGTTGACGTTGAATATTTGTGATATGTATTAGAAAGATATGGTCTTCTATTTTGTAGAGAGATTGAAATCATGGGCAAAGTCCAAACTATATAACCAACGAGTTTAAGACATTTTCTCAACCTATACAGTAGATGAATGATTGTTTGATATGAGCCATAAGCGTTAACTTTCTTTAAGGGGAGGCAATAGAAACAATACACCTAACTCGCCCAAAAGTGGGTGTAGAGACCGAACAGGAACAATAAGGGGAGATCATTGACCCAATAAAGGAACGAGAACTCAAGAAGAGTAACCTACCATAAAAACCACTTGAATTGGTACCTCCATCCTATAAGGGGGGACACATAGAGTGTTTGATTCTCTTAAGAGGGCAACCCTCCAGGCCTTCCAAGCCATGCTAGAAGAAAACTCAAAATCTAGACTCGGAAGCCAAAATGCCATCATTAGAAAGCATTGACAGCAATGGGGCCTTGAAGTTTTTGTCTGCCATTCATAGGAAAGTAGTTCATGACAATTGGTCTTAGATTACTTCTCATGATAGACCGAAATGGTCACATGCTTGATGAAAAACATGATAATGACATCTTGGTAGTAATACGTGACCCATAACATCTCATCTAGGTGAGGGAAGTATGAGGTCCATCATGAAATCCTACTTATGAGACATGGTGTAGGACATCCCATACTAAAAGAGGAATCAGGGCCTCGTAACGCATTCACGTGGTAGGAGGTCGTAGTCAATTAAGGTATAGAAAAAATATTACGTAACAAACTTAAGTAACATGATTTTAGGGCATGAGGCGGTTAGAGTATGAGCTTTTCTTAAGAAATTCTTGTAGGGTATGAATTTGTATGATCTTAGGTATCTTTTTATTCATGGCACAAGTATAGCCCTAAAGTAAACATAAGTGTTCTTATGGCTATATTTATGTCATAAGCACTTGGTTTATCATGTAGGGAAGTCTTAAGGATAACACCACCAAAGGGAGTACTTAAATTCTTGAAACCTTTAGTCTTAGTCATTAGGGATAATATGGTAATTTTCCACCTAAATCAGGGTTCGAGCCCCAACATGGTCTAATGGTCACAAAAATTTAATAGTCCGTTGAGAGTCATAATTTTGGGTCATGTATAAAGTTCTATGTCCTTTGGCATTAAAATTTTATGAGTAGCATAATGCATTTCGTGGGTTATTTTAACGTTCCTCAAAGTCAATTTCTTCTATATTCCTTTATTTCCTACTTAACTTAAGTTTCATTTCAAATTCCAAACAATTAGTGCAAGTACTTCATGAAACTTCTTCCTTTCACCTCCGTGAAGGAATGACTTTGTTGAATCATGGCTTATTTTTTTAGTTAATTCTCGATCTACAACTCAACCTAAAACACAAAACCTGGTCTTCTTAGGCAGCTTTATCTAGGACGATTTAGGCTTTGATTTCTTTATAAAAATTGTTCAACTTAATCCTCTAAAGCCAAAAGAATACTTAATTTTGGACGTGAGGAAACATACATATAAAAAATTCAAACTTGACCTAAATTCTTACCTGAAATTTTTTTTTCTCCAATTGGGCACGCGCCATAACTTGTTGGCCTTCTACGTTTTCTATGAAAATGATCCTTGAAGGTGCAGAAATCAAATGGAATAGACCTTTGAATTTTATTTTGAATTAAATAGCCTATATAGGTTTCAAACTTGATCCTTGAAGGTGCAGAAATCAAATGGAATAGACCTTTGAATTTTATTTTGAATTAAATAGCCTATATAGGTTTCAAACTTGATCCTTGAAGGTGCAGAAATCAAATGGAATAGACCTTTGAATTTTATTTTGAATTAAATAGCCTATATAGGTTTCAAACTTGATCCTTGAAGGTGCAGAAATCAAATGGAATAGACCTTTGAATTTTATTTTGAATTAAATAGCCTATATAGGTTTCAAACTTGATCCTTGAAGGTGCAGAAATCAAATGGAATAGACCTTTGAATTTTATTTTGAATTAAATAGCCTATATAGGTTTCAAACTTGATCCTTGAAGGTGCAGAAATCAAATGGAATAGACCTTTGAATTTTATTTTGAATTAAATAGCCTATATAGGTTTCAAACTTTTGACCTTCAGGTTGTTAGTATGACGCTCTAACCAACTGAGTTAATAGGCATAGGCCAATTTGCAATCTTGCAAATTCAGGCACGACATCGCACCAACCGAGGTTTGGAATCGTGAGCTCATGGCATATTCAAAAGGTAGGGAGGTCTAGGGTCACTAGGACATCACTGGTCTCGCTAATTTCTTATTTTGAAATGAATGGCCTATACAGGTCTCAAAACTATGACCTTCGCGTTATTAGCACGACGCTCTAACCAACTAAGATAATAGGCCAATTTGCTATCTTGCAAATTGAGACACGACATCGCACCAACTGAGGTTTAGAATCGTAAGCTCATGGCCTATTCAAAAGGTAGGGAGGTCTAGGATCACTAGAACATCACTGATCTAGGTCTAAAAGAATGGCATATTCGTTCGGGCCATTCAACATTCTTAAATTTTGAATCTTATTTTGAAATGAATGGCCTATACAAGTCTCGAACTTGTGACCTTTGCATTATTAGCACGACGCTCTAACCAACTGAGCTAATAGGCCAATTTGTTATCTTGCAAATTGAGACACGACATCGACCAATCGAGGTTTAGAATCGTGAGCTCATGGCCTATCCAAAAGGTAGGGAGGTCTAGGATCACTAGTCTAAAAGAATGGCATATTCGTTCAGGCCATTCAACATTCTTAAATTTTGAATCTTATTTTGAAATGAATGGCCTATATAGGTCTCGAACCTGTGACCTACGCGTTATTAGCACGACGCTCTAACCAACTGAGCTAATAGGCCAATTTGTTATCTTGCAAATTGAGACACGACATCGCACCAACCGAGGTTTGGAATTGTGAGCTCATGGCCTATTCAAAAGGTAGGGAGCTCTAGGATCACTGGTCTAAAAGAATGGCATATTCGTTCGGGCCATTCAACATTCTTACATTTTGAATTAAATAGCCTATACAGGTCTCGAACCTGTGACATTCGCGTTATTAGCACGACGCTCTAACCAACTGAGCTAATAGGCCAATTTGCAAGCAAATTGAGACACGACACCACACCAACCGAGGCCATTCAACATTCATAAATTTTGAATCTTATTTTAAAAATGAATGGCCTATACAGGTCTCGAACCTGTGACCTTCGCGTTATTAGCACGACGCTCTAACCAACTGAGCTAATAGGCCAATTTGCTATCTTGCAAATTGAGACACAACATCGCACCAACCGAGGTTTGGAATTGTGAGCTCATGGCCTATTCAAAAGGTAGGGAGCTCTAGGATCACTAGAACATCACTGGTCTAAAAGAATGGCATATTCGTTCGGGCCATTCAACATTCTTACATTTTTAAATTAAATGGCCTATACAGGTCTCGAACCTGTGACATTCGCGTTATTAGCACGACGCTCTAACCAACTGAGCTAATAGGCCAATTTGCAAGCAAATTGAGACACGACACCACACCAACCGAGGCCATTCAACATTCATAAATTTTGAATCTTATTTTAAAAATGAATGGCCTATACAGGTCTCGAACCTGTGACATTCGCGTTATTAGCACGACGCTCTAACCAACTGAGCTAATAGGCCAATTTGCAAGCAAATTGAGACACGACACCACACCAACCGAGGCCATTCAACATTCATAAATTTTGAATCTTATTTTAAAAATGAATGGCCTATACAGGTCTCGAACCTGTGACCTTCGCGTTATTAGCACGACGCTCTAACCAACTGAGCTAATAGGCCAATTTGCAATCTTGCAAATTCAGGCACGACATCGCACCAACCGAGGTTTAGAATTATGAGCTCATGGCCTATTCAAAAGGTAGGGAGCTCTAGGATCACTAGAACATCACTGGTCTAAAAGAATGGCATATTCGTTCGGGCCATTCAACATTCTTACATTTTTAAATTAAATGGCCTATACAGGTCTCGAACCTGTGACATTCGCGTTATTAGCACGACGCTCTAACCAACTGAGCTAATAGGCCAATTTGCAAGCAAATTGAGACACGACACCACACCAACCGAGGCCATTCAACATTCATAAATTTTGAATCTTATTTTAAAAATGAATGGCCTATACAGGTCTCGAACCTGTGACCTTCGCGTTATTAGCACGACGCTCTAACCAACTGAGCTAATAGGCCAATTTGCAAGCAAATTGAGACACGACACCACACCAACCGAGGCCATTCAACATTCATAAATTTTGAATCTTATTTTAAAAATGAATGGCCTATACAGGTCTCGAACCTGTGACCTTCGCGTTATTAGCACGACGCTCTAACCTACTGAGCTAATAGGCCAATTTGCTATCTTGCAAATTGAGACACAACATCGCACCAACCGAGGTTTAGAATTGTGAGCTCATGGCCTATTCAAAAGGTAGGGAGCTCTAGGATCACTAGAACATCACTGGTCTAAAAGAATGGCATATTCGTTCGGGCCATTCAACATTCTTACATTTTTAAATTAAATGGCCTATACAGGTCTCGAACCTGTGACATTCGCGTTATTAACACGACGCTCTAACCAACTGAGCTAATAGGCCAATTTGCAAGCAAATTGAGACACGACACCACACCAACCGAGGCCATTCAACATTCATAAATTTTGAATCTTATTTTAAAAATGAATGGCCTATACAGGTCTCGAACCTGTGACCTTCGCGTTATTAGCACGACGCTCTAACCAACTGAGCTAATAGGCCAATTTGCAAGCAAATTGAGACACGACACCACACCAACCGAGGCCATTCAACATTCATAAATTTTGAATCTTATTTTAAAAATGAATGGCCTATACAGGTCTCGAACCTGTGACCTTCGCGTTATTAGCACGACGCTCTAACCTACTGAGCTAATAGGCCAATTTGCTATCTTGCAAATTGAGACACAACATCGCACCAACCGAGGTTTAGAATTGTGAGCTCATGGCCTATTCAAAAGGTAGGGAGCTCTAGGATCACTAGAACATCACTGGTCTAAAAGAATGGCATATTCGTTCGGGCCATTCAACATTCTTACATTTTTAAATTAAATGGCCTATACAGGTCTCGAACCTGTGACATTCGCGTTATTAGCACGACGCTCTAACCAACTGAGCTAATAGGCCAATTTGCAAGCAAATTGAGACACGACACCACACCAACCGAGGCCATTCAACATTCATAAATTTTGAATCTTATTTTAAAAATGAATGGCCTATACAGGTCTCGAACCTGTGACCTTCGCGTTATTAGCACGACGCTCTAACCAACTGAGCTAATAGGCCAATTTGCAAGCAAATTGAGACACGACACCACACCAACCGAGGCCATTCAACATTCATAAATTTTGAATCTTATTTTAAAAATGAATGGCCTATACAGGTCTCGAACCTGTGACCTTCGCGTTATTAGCACGACGCTCTAACCAACTGAGCTAATAGGCCAATTTGCAAGCAAATTGAGACACGACACCACACCAACCGAGGCCATTCAACATTCATAAATTTTGAATCTTATTTTAAAAATGAATGGCCTATACAGGTCTCGAACCTGTGACCTTCGCGTTATTAGCACGACGCTCTAACCTACTGAGCTAATAGGCCAATTTGCTATCTTGCAAATTGAGACACAACATCGCACCAACCGAGGTTTAGAATTGTGAGCTCATGGCCTATTCAAAAGGTAGGGAGCTCTAGGATCACTAGAACATCACTGGTCTAAAAGAATGGCATATTCGTTCGGGCCATTCAACATTCTTACATTTTTAAATTAAATGGCCTATACAGGTCTCGAACCTGTGACATTCGCGTTATTAGCACGACGCTCTAACCAACTGAGCTAATAGGCCAATTTGCAAGCAAATTGAGACACGACACCACACCAACCGAGGCCATTCAACATTCATAAATTTTGAATCTTATTTTAAAAATGAATGGCCTATACAGGTCTCGAACCTGTGACCTTCGCGTTATTAGCACGACGCTTTAACCAACTGAGCTAATAGGCCAATTTGCAATCTTGCAAATTCAGGCACGACATCGCACCAACCGAGGTTTAGAATTATGAGCTCATGGCCTATTCAAAAGGTAGGGAGCTCTAGGATCACTGGTCTAAAAGAATGGCATATTCGTGTTCGGGCCATTCAACATTCTTACATTTTGAATTAAATGGCCTATACAGGTCTCAAACCTGTGACATTCGCGTTATTAGCACGACGCTCTAACCAAATGAGCTAATAGGCCAATTTGCAAGCAAATTGAGACACGACACCACACCAACCGAGGCCATTCAACATTCATAAATTTTGAATCTTATTTTAAAAATGAATGGCCTATACAGGTCTCGAACCTGTGACCTTCGCGTTATTAGCACGACGCTCTAACCAACTAAGCTAATAGGCCAATTTGCTACCTTGCAAATTGAGACACGACATTGACCAACCGAGGTTTAGAATCGTGAGCCCATGGCCTATCCAAAAGGTAGGGAGGTCTAGGATCACTAGTCTAAAAGAATGGCATATTCAACATTCTTAAAATTTGAATCTTATTTTGAAATGAATGGCCTATATAGGTCTCGAACCTGTGACCTTCTATTAGCACGACGCTCTAACCAACTGAGCTAATAGGCCAATTTGCAATCTTGCAAATTCAGGCACGACATCGCACCAACCGAGGTTTAGAATTATGAGCTCATGGCCTATTCAAAAGGTAGGGAGCTCTAGGATCACTGGTCTAAAAGAATGGCATATTCGTTCGAGTCATTCAACATTCTTACATTTTGAATTAAAGATGGCCTATACAGGTCTCGAACCTGTGACATTCGCGTTATTAGCACGACGCTCTAACCAACTGAGCTAATAGGCCAATTTACAAGCAAATTGAGACACGACACCACACCAACCGAGGCCATTCAACATTCATAAATTTTGAATCTTATTTTTGCAAATTGAGACACGACATCGACCAACTGAGGTTTAGAATCGTGAGCCCATGGCCTATTCAAAAGGTAGGGATGTCTAGGATCACTAGTCTAAAAGAATGGCATATTCGTTCGGGCCATTCAACATTCTTAAAATTTGAATCTTATTTTGAAATGAATGGCCTATACAGGTCTCGAACCTGTGACCTTCGCATTATTAGCACGATGCTCTAACAAACTGAGCTAATAGGCCAATTTGCTATCTTTCAAATTGAGACACAACATCACACCAACCGAGGTTTAGAATCGTGAGCTCATGGCCTATTTAAAAGGTAGGGAGGTCTAGGATCACTAAACATCACTAGTCTAAAAGAATGGCATATTCGTTCGGGCCGTTCAACATTCTTAAATTTTGAATCTTATTTTAAAATGAATGGCTTATACATGTCTCAAACCTATGACCTTCGCATTATTAGCACGAAGCTCTAACCAATTAAGCTAATAGGCCAATTTGCTATATTGCAAATTGAGACACGACATCGCACCAACCAAGGTTTGGAATCGTGAGCTCATGGTATATTCAAAAGGTAGGGAGGTCTAGGGTCACTGGTCTAAAAGAATGGCATGTTCGTTCGAGCCATTCAACATTCTTAAATTTTGAATTGAATGGCGTATACAGGTCCTAAACCTGTGACCCATGCGTTATTAGCACAACACTCTAACAAACTGAGCTAATAAGCCAATTTGCTATCTTGCAAATTGAGACACGACATCGCATCAATCGAGGTTTGAAATCGTGAGCTCATGGCATATTCAAAAGGTAGGGAGGTCTAGGGTCACTAGGACATCATTGGTGTAACGATTCACATTTTCCATTTGTGG